GGAATTTTGTCCCTATCCGATTATCACGGCAGTTTATACCATTATTTTTAAAATCAAGTAAACCAGATATTGGACTATATGAACTATTTCGGCGTATATGTCAAGAGTTCAATTGTTATTCTATTTGAAAAATACTATACTAACTTCTCTTAATAAGTAACTCACGATATTTCGGTAATAGCATAATATACCGTATATTTCAGCTGTATTTATTTGCCTGTAGCTGAACAGTTTTAAATCTTGACACTTATAACACTCTTGCTTTTCATGACTCGGCGGATTCCTCATGAGGATGGCGACACTCGTATCGTTTTGGATGAGGGTAATAATTGAGCTTATTATTATTATTATTATTTAATTATAAATGATAATAAGTATCTCAACTAATTGTTATTTTATATAGAAATGAATATTAGAGACACACAAGCAAATTCCTTGTTTCACCAATTTCAAAAGGTTGCTTATCTTAGTTGTTGCGTTCGTGATACTCTTGTTGATGTTGACATAAATTTACTTATATGATGAGTGCTATCAGCTCGATTCTTTATAAATTAATTGAAATTTAAGTTGCAATCTACCGATTTATGGTTACCAATGACTGCGTGCGTTGCCAGATTCTTCTTTTATAGTTGTTGGTTGTAATTACTAAAAAGGTTCCACACTTTTAAAATTTTGAAGATTGCACATATATACATACATATACATATAACAGTGGTTCACAGCTAGAGTGGTGCAGCTATTTAAAAAAAAAGGATACTAAGTTTTATTTAAAAATTAAATAAGTTTTCTAAAAAACATGAATGACAGTTAATAGCGGCAAATATACACATTTCGATGGTGCTTTAAAAATTCTATATTTTATGTTTATTTTATGTAATTTACGACAAAAACGAACCTAAGTATTAAGTCCATTCGGATGACATGACCCAGCCAGCGTAGCCGCTGCTTCTTGATTCGCGGGACTATGTCAATATCATCATATAACTCGAATTGCTCATCGTTCCGTCGTCTGCGGTTTTCACCGTTGCCAAAGCTTAAAGGACCATAAATCGTTCGCAAAACCTTTCTCTCGAAAACTCCTAACGCCGACTCATCAGATGTTGTCATCGGCCATGCTTCCGCACCATTTAGCAGGACGGGGGACTTGCAGTTTGGTTTTTGTTCGCCGGGAGAGGACTTTACTTTTCAATTGCCAGTCCAGAGTAGCACCGGTTGGCAAAAGTTATTCAGCGCTGCACTTCGAACTGACATTATTGTTAGGGTGAATGCTGGTTCCTAGATAGATGAAATTATCTACGACTTCAAAGTTCTGATTGTCAACAGTGACGTGGGAGCCAAGTCGAGGATGCGATGACTTTTTGTTTAATGACAGGAGATATTTCGTCTTGCCCCCATTCACTACCAGACCCATTTGTCTCGCTTCTTTATTGAGTCTGGAGAAAGCAGTCAATATCTTCGCCGTACAGGTGTATAGCCTATTTCCACTGGACGTTAAACGCATTTTTGCTTAAATGCATTTAACATCGCATTTAAATTCGCGAGTTCCCATTTGTTTGTTGTTGTATAAAAGTGTGTTAACTCACTTTTCGAAGTGAGTTAACTCACTTTTCGGTAATTTGGCAGAAAATGTTATGCTAACAGTCATTGCTGTCACAACTAATATAATCATTTCGGAAGTTTCAGTGTATTTCATGCCAGAGTCGTGTTTTTTCGGATTTAATGAGGAGAGAGACTTTTGTTTTGCATGGTGAAATTTTTCCTGCAAAACTATTTCTTTGCATTAAATTCTTTCAAAAAATTCAATGAGAAACAAACATAAAGCAACTGTGAAATTTCAAATGATCCCCTCAATATAAAAAAAGGGGTGGCTCTGGCAGCTATAAGCTGATTTCGCAAAATAAATAATTTGAGGAAACAAACAAGCAAATGTGACAATGGAAACATGCATAAAAGCATTTCGTTTCAACAGCGTTTGTCCGTGCAGAGAAAATCTGCACTTCCAAATCATAAGATTGCATGAATAGCAAAATAAAATGAATGAGGTCCCATAAATTCATGATATCAATAGTTGCGGCAAATTTTGCAAGCTGCAAATATAAACAAAAATCGGCTGTTTGAGTTAACTCACATTCGGTGGAAAGACTTGACATTAAGTTCACTTTACAGAGGCTTTAAATGCATTTATGTTCTCGGTGGAAATAGGCTGGTACACTCAAACAAAACATTGTACCTTCTCTATTCAGCTCTGCGGTTCGAATTATTTTCTCCAGCAATAAATTAAGCAAGTCACACGACAAGGAATCATCCTGTCTGAAACCTTGTTTGATATCGAACGGCTCTGAGAGGTCCTTCCCGATTCTGACGGAGCTTTTAGAGTTGCTTAAGGTCAGTTCACACAGTCCTATAAGTTTTGCGGGGATACCAAATTCAGACATAGTGGCTTAGGGACAGCTAGAGAAAGTTTTGACGTTTTTGGTACGTTTTGCCAAAATAGACAAATATTTAAGAAAATATAATTCAATAATTCAAGACACAAAATATAAAAAGTCCAAAAAATACACTGTAATAAAAACAAGAAGAAAAATTAAAAAGTAATACCGACTTGAAATACATTTGTGTTCGAACTTGAAAGTATACATGTAATCCAGCGAACATTAACATTTATGCCCACTAAAGTTGCTATTACTAGCGGGTGAAACGTTTTTATAATATGGTGGCCTTCGACAGCACTGAAAAAAAGTACACTGGGGCGGACTGAAACCGGCTTCGCCATACGAAACATTGATGGAAACTTGAGAAAAATATATATGAAAATAGGTTTGGGGTAATGAACATATCACCTTTAGTTTAGGTTTGTTGGGTTATATTACTTTTATTTTGCTCTTATTTTCTTGTATGTTTTTATATGAAGTGCCGATTTAAAATTCAAAGTTCGCCTTTAAAATTTGAATAAACATTTAGACATGTTCAGTGAGCCGACCCAGAACGCAATGATTAGTTAGCGCTCAGTAAAAATGCTCAGTGAGCGCTCAGCATATTTGTGAATGTAAAATTTTTATGCTACTTTCTTCTGATTGGTCAACTGCTGTATACAGAAAAAATGCATCGCGAAAATTTAAAAGTATTTTTATTTTAAAGTGGTTGTGGCGAAAATTTACTAAATTTTTTGGGTTGTCAAATAGATTTATTTTCATGAAGAAACTGTGCCACTTCACAATTAGTTTCGTCATTAAAATAGCGGTTAATGTGGTCGTTTCCACATTTGAAGTAGCATTGCTTACATGAAAATTAATCACTCCGTAAAATAGCTCACTGAACATGTTTTCTGAACGCTCAGTACGCTGAATGCACGTAATGTGTTCGAGGTATGTTAAAAAAAAATGAACATTTTTAAATTTCGTGGTCTGTCTTATGTTGATGAAACGAAGTCAGAAGAACACATAAATCTGTTAGACATTCTTCTCTTTACTCTTTAAATTAAAACGTCTTAATTAAACATATTTAAAACGACGGCTGCGAGTGCCGAGTTGTTAGCTTTGCGTACTGCCATTCGGAAGGCTTGGGTTTAAGTCCTGGTGTCGTACTAACATCTAGTAAATATATAGGTGTATATATATATGTATACAGTTTATACTAAGCCGCCTCCGAACGGCTGATGGAGGATGAGGAGCTCTATTTCATGTCAGAGGGGCGACCGCAATTAGAAAATTAAGCTTAATTTATTGTTCAGGTATTTGAACCCGAGCCTTCCGAATTGCAGTACGCAATGCTAACCAGTCAGTTACCGCGGCCGTCATCAGTATTAGTAAGGAATAATCATCACCTAACCAATAATACTTAAGTATGTCAAGTGAACACTCAAGTGAAAGCTAAAATTAAAACACATATTACAAACAGTAAAGTACAGTAAATAAACATAATAGCTTTTTCATCCATATAGTTCACTAATACGTATGTCGAATATGTTAATTGTGCTCAGAGGTAACTTTAATAAGCTATTGTTATTAGGCTTCTGTCTTTCCAAGAACCTTAACTTATTACAAAGGCTTCACCATTAAATTCCTGCTCATTTTAGTAAAAAAAAAAAAAAAATCAATTAAAATACCGAACTAGCTCGTCTGTCGTCATGTATTCCTGTTGTTGTTGTTGTAGCGGATTCGCTAACCCCGCTTAGGCACAGGCTTGAATTAGTCTAAGTCGTCGAGGTCATCTAAAGGTAGGCCCAGGAAACGAGCTGTTTCGACGGGGTTGGACCAAAGTGAGAGGGGGGTTAGATGAGTAGGTTTGAGGGGGCATGTGAAGAGGTGGTTAGTGTCGTGTGCGGACTCTCCACATGCCGGGCATACGTTAGGTATGCTGGGGTCTAGTCTGGATAGGTAGGAGTTTAACCTGCTAAAATATCCAGACCTATGTTGTGTCAGGGTCACGCGGGTCTCTCGAGGCAGCTCGAGCTCGTTGTCTGCTATGGGTGGTGGTATTTCTCCGAGTATGCCATTCACTGGAAGGGAGTTCATGAAGGTGTTAACTGACTCCTGGTGAATGGCGTTCAGTGCTTNCAGCAGAAGTAATCCGTCGGTCCAGGGTTGGTTTCTACACCAGCCCTGATCAGAAGGATTTGGAGCAACCCAGCTGCGAGGTGTTGCTCCGTTGACGTACTTAGACTAAGGTTACCTGTAGACCTAAACGGGGTTAGGTCTCCGAAAGGGTGACAGCCCTTGGCCGGATAAAATCCGGGTCAACTCCGGTGCGTAGAACCGGCTGTCGTGAGAGTTGGTCATGTATTCCTGATATATGTTGGCTCAAATGATCGGACGCCTTCTTGCAGGGTAATCAACTTTGTTGAGGTTTCGAAGCTAACTTGACGTGCAGTGCAAATTTAAGACTATCTAAGTGAATTATTGATAATTTTTTTTATATACTACTACGTCTGGTGTACCAATTTATGTGCTGTTATATTTAAAACTCGCAGCGCTTTTACTGCAATGAATGTTTTTACTCACGATAAAATTTTAGGTAATTTTCTGGTAGGCACTGAAGTGATTAATTGTCCCCAGACCAACGTACCGATTCCAAAGAATATGCACCATAACCACTGATCAAGAGATAGTGCCTTGGTGGAGAATGCCATTTTACCATATTGTATAATTACGACCTAAAATGTTTTTTTTAATTTTTTAGTACTAACTACGTGAAACTCTTGAAATACGTACCTGAGAAATCATGGTGAAAATCCATATAGTATAAAAAATTGGATTTGTGAACAGACCCTCCACCACATTTCTCTGTCCGTGTATTTTTCTTGCATTAATTTCATTAAACAACGTCATCATGACGAATGTGTTGAAAATTATAGTAAAATGTTGTGTCGGTCCAGCCCCAAGATCCTGGCCGCGCCCAGACTCAATGTCAAGTATCCAATCGCCTGAAACACGGAAAGCAGCCATTACATAATTTGAATTACGTAATATGAATAGTATGCAAAAATCTTACCGACAAACAAGAGGCCAAATATTATAAATAACTGATATAAGGCTTGTCCCAATATATTTTTCATCATTGTGCGAGAAATTAATGGTTTTGTGCGGCCATATGGCTTTCGTAATAATAAATCTGGCGTTGGAAGTTCAGTGGCTAATGCTAACGATGCAAGAGTATCCATAATAAGATTTACCCACAGCATTTGTACAGCCTGCCAGGTGAAAAAATCATTATTGTAGCAAATTTTGGAAAGTACAAGTTCTAAATTAATACGATATACCTTTAATGGTGAGTCTTGCACCGCACATGCACCAATAAATGCTACAATTACAGCAACTACGTTGACGGTCAATTGGAATTGTAAAAATTTAGCAATTGAATCGTAAACATTTCGACCCCACATAACTGCTTTAACAATGCTGCTAAAGTTATCATCTGTCAAAATAATATCGGAAGCTTCCTTTGCCACATCTGTGCCAGCAATACCCATTGCAAAGCCTACATCAGCCTTTTTTAAGGCTGGGCCATCATTAGTACCATCGCCGGTCACAGCAACTACCTCCCGATTCTCGCTTACTTTGCTATCAATAATACCTGAATTACAAAAATACATTATTCACTTTTATCGATGGCCGTACTTATAATAACAAACCTTTAACAAGAGTGTACTTATCAGTTGGCGATGATCGCGCTAAAACGCGAAGTCTTGGCCACACCTTGTCCAGCAAATGTTGTTGAATCTACCAAATTCAAATATGTTAAAACGACATTTATTCCGCAGACATTTAACTCACATCTCCGTTACTATCTCTGATACGACGATTGAATTCTTTTCCTTCCAATATTAGAAAATCATCGTTAGGACGAAGTATACCACATTTTGAAGCGATTGAACGAGCAGTATTAATATTATCACCAGTGACCATACGAACGGTTATACCAGCACGTTGACATTTACGTATAGCGTCTGGAACTTCTGGACGGACAGGGTCTTCAATTCCTACCACACACAAACATGTCAAGTTTGTCATAATGTTCTCCTCGTCATCCCAATTTGGTTCACCATCAATATGAACTTCATTTACCGCTGCCTTTCCAGGAACGAAATCTCTATAAGCGACAGAAATTGTCCTTAGCCCATCGCAAGCCATTGGCTCAATAACTTCTCGTATTAAACGCTCCTGCATGTCACGTGTAAATTTTTCCAAAACACCATCATGTCCATAAATGAACGAGCACCTAGATTGATTGTATTCTCATAGAAATTTAAATAAATTATAAAACTACAAAACACTTACTTTTTAAGCATTATTTCCGATGCTCCCTTGGAAAAGAGCCGATAACCACCATTTTTACGAGGTATAACTGTGCCCATGCTTTTACGAACTGAATTAAACGTAAACACTCGCGTAAATTTATCTTCAGTTATTTCGTCACGAATTGACTGATATTTTACCCCTAGGCCTTGAACAAATCCTAGCAAGGCGCATTCAGTTTTATTTCCAACTTGAATGGGCAAATCTCCGGGATTTTGACCAGGCTATCGGTAAGATATAAAAAGTAGAAATAATTTACACAATATTTTTGAAACTTACCATAATATTGGAAGTATAAGCAGAATTCACCGAAATACCCATTGTTATCAAGTTACCGACATGCTGAGGTATATCATTCAATGTTGGTAGTACTTTGCACAATTTTTCACAAATATAGGACTGTACAACAGTCATTCTATTTGTTGTAAGTGTACCAGTCTTGTCTGAACAAATAGCAGTGGCATTACCCATAGTTTCACAAGCGTCTAAATGTCTCACCAAATTATTGTCTTTCATCATTTTCTATAAATAGTTATAAAACAAAAAATAAAAAGAGATTATTACTACTGGTGGTGTTTATAAGAGTTTACCTTTACAGAATACGCCAACGACAATGTGACAGCTAAAGGCAAACCTTCTGGAACAGCTACTACTAATACTGTTACACCAATAATTAAATGTTTCACTAAATTATTCGCGTAAGTATTCTTCCAGTGCTTCTCCTCGATAACGAAGGTTTTGATACAAAACTGTATGACTAATATTATTACAGTTAATACAGCAATTGTTGAACCAGCATAGCCAATTTGTATTGCCAATTTTGTTAGCTTAGCTTGTAGCACAGATTTTTCTTTTTTGTGACCAGCTTCAGCAGGTGATGAGGCCGGTTGAACGTGATTACCATCGGATTCAGATTTGATTCCATCCGTAGGAGGAGGTGACATGTTCATGTTTTGCTCGGGAGCTCGGCCATCATCAGAACCTACATACCAAAAACATTTTTCATTTAATACACATGTAAACGTTTACTTTTACGAACAATTCCAAAAAAATAGTTCACATCAACACAGACGCTTCTTTTGTGATTCCAAAAATAAATCATAAACTAATTATGTTAATTTAAATTAAAACTCAAAGATTTTTTAAATAAATGACTGTGCTTAGCTACGAGGTGTGTTCAAAAAATAACGCGAATTTTGAATTTTTGCGGATTACGTATAATCGAATTTTGTGGCGTTATGTTAATTTTGATGAAGAGGCCAATGAAAGGACGACGTTACGCTACGATTGACGAGATAAAGACGATATCGAAGGAGGTGCTGAACAAGATAAAAAAATGATTTTTGAAGTGCTTCGAAGGTTGGAAAAACCGTTGGCACAAGTGTATAATATCTGTTGTTGTTGTTGTTGTAGCGGATTCGCTAACCCCGCTTAGGCACAGGCTTGAGTTAGTCTAAGTCGTCGAGGTCATCTAAAGGTAGGCCCAGGAAACGAGCTGTTTCGACGGGGTTGGACCAAAGTGAGAGGGGGGTTAGATGAGTAGGTTTGAGGGGGCATGTGAAGAGGTGGTTAGTGTCGTGTGCGGACTCTCCACATGCCGGGCATACGTTAGGTATGCTGGGGTCTAGTCTGGATAGGTAGGAGTTTAACCTGCTAAAATATCCAGACCTATGTTGTGTCAGGGTCACGCGGGTCTCTCGAGGCAGCTCGAGCTCGTTGTCTGCTATGGGTGGTGGTATTTCTCCGAGTATGCCATTCACTGGAAGGGAGTTCATGAAGGTGTTAACTGACTCCTGGTGAATGGCGTTCAGTGCTTGTCGATACGCCGTCCTGTCCAGCGGTTGTTGTGTGTGTTGCTGGATCGTGTCCTTGAAGTCTAGTACTCCCTTCCTGATGTGCCTAGGTGGAGGTTCAGCTTCTATTAAGTGCCTACTGGGGTGCTCCCTGCGGTAGCATCCCAGTAGGAACTGCTTGCACAGCAAAGCATTATGCTCCTTAACTCGTAGCATAGATGCTTCCCTGTGCAAGTGATGCTCCGGCGACATCAGAAGGTTTCCTGTCGCAGTCCTGGCCTGTAGCTTCTTCATCTGCGTCCCGTTCGTCCCCGGCGTCCAGATCGGAGCAGCATAGTTTACGACCGGCCGGCCAGTTGCTTTGTAAGTAGCCAGCAAAGTTTCTTTATCTTTACCCCAGGTGCTGCCGGCTAGCGCTTTGAGTATTTTGTTGCGGCTCTGGAGTTTTGCGGCAATTGCGGTCGTATGCGGAGTGAAGGAGTGCAGGCTGTCCAGAGTTACTCCCAATATTTTTGGGTTATTTTATATATAATATCTCATGGGGATTACTTTGAAGGGGACAAAATAGATATTCATGAATAAATAAATAATTTTTGAAAAAACATAAAATTCGCGATATTTTTTGAACACACATCGTAGTTCCAATATTATGTTTAAATACGGCTGAGCTCAGACCGCCTAGAGTCACAGCGTGGCAGGCTGTGGATGGCCTACGTTTTTTTTTTGGCTAGCTGCGAATAGCTAATAAGAAGTCCCTAAATAAGAGCGAAAGGAGAATAGATGAATAGTTGCCACCTCGAAAATCCACAACACAAAATAAATTAGCTTTTGGAATGGTGAGAGTGGTATTCTGCCACTTGAGTAAGCAAGAGCTGCCTGTTACCTGTTGACTTAAACGGGGTTAGGTCGGCGAAAGGGTGACAACCGGATAAAATACGGATCAACTCCGGTACATAGAACCGGTTGTCTTGAGAGTTGTGAGGTAAATTCCAGATTAATACTGACCGGCTCGGAAGACAAGATCTAATGAGAACTTTTGTCAACCCTCTCTAGTACCTACAACATACGTAGAGGACCTCGGGCCCTTTGTCAGAGACACACCATTAACTGTAACAAACAAACACAAAAAAACTCTGAAGGGTACGAAGAAAGAGCAGCAGAAGATAAGGAGAACACTTGTACTTTAACGAGCGCCAAGATGAATACGACAAAAGCTGGCCTCCCGCTCATCCTACATAACACCGTACAGTATCGTCTTATCGATGTTGCCCTGATATTGGTGCGCTACTCAGAAGCGAGATCCGTTTGGTTTTAGGCGGCTTTAAGGAGCAACACAATCTTTGATAACGAGCACCACAATCCTTGATATTTCTCTAAATGACCGTAGCGGAATAGAGCTGCCGGATCAGATGGACGACTCAATATTCTGCACAATGAACCACAACATCCCCACCAGAGTTATGAGTAATTGCTAAGCACACCAGATATAACAATTGCGAGTGCTGGTCAAATAAACAGTATAGCCTGGTGACCTATGCTGACACAAGCAATATACAAATCTCGATTGACAAACCTCCTGACTTTGCTTCCGCGGACTACTGGATATTTTTTTAACTTTAAGATTGCTTATTGGTCCGGCTTCACGGTATTTACCGAGAACGCCTTCGGTGCTCTCTTCTGGTGAACGTTTTGTCCGCAGGATTGTCTTGGCCGCTGCCGCCCACTTCATTCCGGTAGGCCCGGGAACCCGCCCTAGTTTCTACGGATGCGGCGGTTTTAGCACTAAGGCCCGACACTCTTCGTAATGCCGATCACGGAAAACCTCTAATCAACAAATATAAGCGGAAAAAACTGGGAGGAATCGTTGTCTAACCCGAAGAGACGCGATGACCGAGTGGAAATTTCTTTCAGTGACCGCGCCCCGCCGGACCCGAAAAGATGCACGAGCTAGTATAGTGGACTTTTTACTCTCCATCCTTCGATAAACAAAACGAAGCGACAAAAAAACTCGTCGCCTGCGCAAACTGCTAAACACCAGCGCAGCGCTTGATTTCTCCTGGGAAGAGGTTCAGGAGGTCATCGGAAAGGCGAAAGCCTCTACCTTCATCGGCCACGACGAAATAAGCATGCTGATGCTATATCATCTTAGACCAGCGGGAGTACTTCCTCACTTGTTTTTGACCGCCCTAATTATGCCCGATATATGGAAAATGGATACGGTGGTCCCGCTACTCAATCCGGGCAAACATATCGGCTAATAACTCTACTCTCCCCAGTAACGAAGACACTTGAGGCATTGCTGCTCCCGCCTTTCACTCATCATCTGCGTTCAGCAACACACCAGCATGGCTTCTGTAAAGAGATGGTACTGTGCTGCTGTAACTGCATACACACTAAGATAGTAAGTGTTCTTGAGTAAAAGCGATCCTGCGCGCGAACTGTCCTGGCAGCGCTGGATTTGTCAAAATATTTTGACACGGTCAGTCATTCAATACTACTGTAGGGCATTGAGGCATCCTCATTACTTCCGGGGTGGCAAAGGTGGATTATGACCTACTGAGTGGTCGACAATCATCGGTAATGACTCGACGTGAAACATCGAAACCAAGAAAAGTTAAATAACGGGTTCCACAAAGTGGTGTCCTCTCCCCACTATTGTTTAATTTCTACATTGTCATAGAGTAACACTTGAACAGCGAAGCATCTATGCTCCGAGTTAAGGATCATAATGCTTTTCTTGCAAGCAGTTCCTATTGAGATGCTACCGTAGGAAGCACCTGAAACTCCATATTGGCACATCAGGAAGGGAGTACTAGACCTTGAGGACACAGTCCAGCAACACGTGCAACAACGGCTGGACAGGGCAACGTATAGACAAGCACTGAACGCCAGTCACCAAGAGTCAGTCAACACCTGCATGGACTCCCTTCCCGTAGCGTGCTCGGAGTTAAGCCACCACACATCGCAGACGAAGAGCCCGGGCTGCCTCGACAGACCCACGTCACACTGGTACAACTTAGGTCGGGATATTGTAGTACGTTAAACTCTTACCTATCCAGACTCGACCCCAACGTATGCCCAGCATCTAGAAAGATTCCACAGGACACTAAGCCGACATATCTAGCCCCCCTCTCTTTCTGGTACGATCCGTCGAAACACCACGTTTCCTGGACCTCCCGTTAGATGACATCGGTGACTTAAATTGATTATAAACCTGTCCCCAAGAGGCGTTAGCCTAGCCGCTATTACAACAACAACAAGATAGCCATGTCCTACCCCTGCCGTCGAATAGATGATACTGAACGATGTTAGGTAGGATGAACGCTAAGCCTCCACCAAGGTCTCGCTCGCAATCCTTGAGGATAATGTTGTAACCGGCCCGGCTCAGAAGATCTGAGTAGTCGATTATCTCGTCGATCTTTCCCTGGAGTCCATTAAAGTTGATCTGTAACACTCGTGTTTGTCTCGGGGGTTAAGCGAGTGATGTGTGAATGTAATTTGCATGGTTCTACATAGTCATCGTTTCTCCGACGGGTGATGCGCAGACCTGAGTAAGGCCGAAAATGATTCCGACGAGAACAAGAGTTGTATCTGACTGAGGCCGTGCTCCGACGTACCATGGTCGGACACACCTCGCACGGGAGGAGAGGAGATGGTTGTGGGTAAGTAAGCGGATTGGTGGGAGTCATGCTGCGGTGAGCTCCTTGAGACCTTAGCAACACTTCGCGCTTCGCTGGTGCACTTAGGTCAACTCAGATGCGAGTCGCGATTTTTTACCAATAAATAGCAATCAAATATACAAGTACTATATAGTTACTAAATAATTAATTACAGTTTTCATTTCTTTAGAAAAAAATCTACGCAATTCCTTGCTCAATATTGGTAACCTTGTATAACAACGAGAAATGAGCTAAGCCACTTTTACGGAAAAAATCAAATCACCGTTGGTTTCTGCGGGACAACCGTCAGTAATGCTATCGGCAAACTTTTCATTTACACGGCGCTCTTATAAAATAGGTTGCTATGGGTATCTAAGATAGGTACTTGCAAGTGACGTTACAGTGCAATACCGATGTAAACAGGCATGTGCTGGAATGTGTTATTTCATTTTGATACCGGAATTGGAAATTGCACGAATTGATATGAGGTGTAATAAAATTATTTAGACATAATCCAAGCTCAAACTTAAACTTGAAACAGCTGATAGTC